CCCCAAAACCCCAAAACCCCAAAACCCCATAATGCAAGATATGAAAAATACAAGAATTAATGAAATAAAAGTTAATTAAGTTTCTATAAATTTAGATTTTCGAATTCACAACTAGGTTGATTTGATTTTTTATTGACTCTCTTGCTAAATTTATTTATTGATTCTCTCTGCTAATTTAGAGTCAATATCGCTATCTACTGGCTTTTATTTTTAAGTCATTCCGTAAGCTTTACATTTAGAAATCTACTTTTAGTTGTTTTTCTCATAAGTAAATTTATTGTCTTAGGAAGTTTTTTGATACAGTATAAATGCTAAAGAGCTAAGAATAGTGAAAAACATCAATCCATTTCTTAATGCTATTTTACCTGTCTATTGGTACCGTAATGCCTCTTCTTCTTTAACCTTACTTTTTCTCTAAAGATTGTCGAAATACTCTCTTTGCTATTGATAGAATTCGTCTTAATACTTTTGATACTACTATTCATAATGATCATAAGACTTCCATTTATTTGAAAAATGAAAATCCTCCTAATCATAATACTATCGATACTATTCTTGCTCGCTTCTAGACCAATTTTTATTGTAATCTGTTTTATGCTTTGTCTAATAATAACTATCCCTAAAATTTTTAAATCTCTCTTCAAAATTTTTCCTCCCTTCATGATCAAACCCCTCATTTTAGTCTCCAGACTCATTGGTTGGATTATAGTAATTATAGCCTGTTTTGTGGGCACTTCCTCCCTATTACTAATTTTTTCGTCTTTTTTCATATTCTTGATAATCATATTTATAGGTATGCTCAGATTCGTTATTTTTAAAGCCACCATGATGAGATCCACCGAACTAATTTTTGTACTCTTTACGCATGTCATCGTACTGAGTTTTTTTATTGCCATCCGATAAAATTTCATAAGCATTAGAAGCTTCCTTGAATTTTTCTTCGTTAGAGGTCTGTAATTTTTTGTCTTGGTTAGAATCTGGATGGTACTTTTTGGCCAAGGAGTAAAATGCCTTTTTGATCTCTGCTTCACTCGCGCTTTCATTTAAGCCCAATCTATGGTAATAATTCACTCTGGGATCAAAGTCTGTTGACCCTGGTCCGCTACCGAACCTATATTTCTAGATGTTCTTGTAAAAAGTGAACTGATTGTCGCGGAAATTTGTATTGATATTGAATATCTTATTTCCATTGTTGTAGGAAAGCTTTAATTTAATCATTTTGATTGTGATAAAGAAGTGAATGGTGTAGTAGAAATGATTTAGAGATAAAAGGTGACTAAGTATATCTTTTGGAATAGTGCTCCTAAAGAGAAGGACTCAATTATATTTATTTAATTTTAAATAATTCCATTTTTTATATTCTCACGTCATTGTCGCGTTAGGGGTTTTGGGGTTTTGGGGTTTTGGGG